TAGAGTTATGCTCGCTAGACACATCACCATCAGCCGCTAATACCACTACCGATGTTACGCAAAAGGCTAAGCTCGAGCATGTAGCATTAAATATAACCTCCCCGAGTAGCACTCAGACTAGTGAGCATACAAAACGAAGTAAAATAACCCTGCCATACAGTATACACACACTGCTGTATTGTTTACCAAATGCTAAAATTTTGTTGGTTCTGTGTTAATATCTTTTACTATATGTTTAGACATGTTACTTTGCATTGTCAAATGTTTACTATATTTAAGACTGTCATGATAATTTAGTACACTAAGTCCTGCTAACCGACATTACCTTCAGTTCTTACTACCTACATTGAATCCTAACTATAGTGTTCTGCTGAATCTTGCTCCACTATTCACGAAACCTATTCTTTTTACTATTTAAGGTTTTAAACTTCTTATAAAGTAATCTGTTCATTAGGACGCATGCATACATATGTGTTCATAAAGATGTACGTGGAGACCTATTGGAAGCACTCAGTAAGAAAGCTAGGGAGATGGAATATGAGGTACGAACATGTCTGGCACCAAGCAATATCTTTGCGGTAGCCATAATAATCATAGTCTCAGAGCCTAACATCAAAAAAGGAGGGAGGGAGGTGCTAGCTGATCAGTAGATATGGCGGTGGTTACTAAGGTGAATCGCCCCATTCTGCAGGAACAGCAATATACAAATTAAAGGCTCGAGATATTTCTGATTTTTATGAGGGCTTAGATCTTTATCTTGAAAAAGATAATAATGAACACCTAGACAGATCATGCTCCTGCCTTAAAACATATACCGTTCACTCAGCCTATTGTTGAGATGCGACCACATTGGCTCTGCACAGATTTATGGGGCATCTTATAAATTAACCTGCTATCCATTGTCGGATCTTTAAATACCACCTCACAATGTGCCTGTAAAAATGGCATGCATTTTCATGTATATTTTTATATGTTTATATGAAATATATACATATCGTAGAATATAGATGACTAACAAACATACGACGTATCTGACCAACCAATCGTAGCAACAGAGTAATTTACACCAAAGTCAGTAACATTCAGAGAGTAACTTGAAACTTGAAAGGCCTGCATTCGTGCAAGTCAGTTTAACGGTTACACTCTCATACGCAGTTGGCTTATCCTCACTAAACTGAACATTGACATTCGTCCTTTCAAACGAACCTATACTAGCATAGTCATAGCATAAGGCACCTGAGTTCATGGACGTCCCTTCCATTGTGGATGACAACACCGACGACGACTGATTGATACCAGTTGATGAACTTAGCGGTGCATCAAAAGCTAATGTTGTTCGACCTTTAGAAGGTTGTCTAACTACAAGATTACCGCCACTGCTATCTCTTACGACTAGCTCCAGTTTAGCTTTAGCGTCTGATGATAGGTGGGCTACACGCTGATCATTTACACTGACAGTCTCACGAGTATCCATACCTTCTGCCATCGTATCCGCCTTTAAAGTTATACAGCACCTTAGTTCATCTCAGTAGAAGTAGGCATTCCGCTCATCTCGTCATGATCAACCATAGACAAAAGTGCACTATCATGATCATTATCACAAATATCCACTTTACCTCCATTTGTATGATCAACTTCATCATTTTCAAACTCTTTAATAACATCAGAAGACAATTTGGATTCCTCCTCACAAATCCTTAAAGGTTTTATACCTTCACTCTGACTAGTAATACCTGGTAAACTTGTGGAGTCAGAAGTGCACTCGGAAACTGTAACTCTCTTCTCCTGCACAAACTGGGGTGTTGTCTGTGACACTCTATTCAACAATGGCTTACCAGTTGCAACTACAGGCTTCTTCACCGCACTACTATCTTCAGACAATTCGGAGTCAGAACTTGGTGGCTCTGACTTCGCATTTAGCTTACTATTAAACTTGCTCACTGATTCATGGTTCGCTTTTGTATGCACTTCTTGCAAACGTGTAAAACACAACCGTCTTTGTCTCGCAACTTGTAACATATCTATTGGGGACGTCCCACGGAAGCTGTTACACTCACTAAGTTTATATGGATTACTAGACACCATAGAGTTTTCTCGATATCCGCTTCTCTGATACCCTTTCGTGATTAATAATTGCGTCTTGCTCCCAGACTTCTCTATTCTAGGGGTGGGATGCGATATACTGGCAAACTTGCTCATAGCTTGATTGACACATTCTTTTATCAGTTTCAGGATATCATCAAACTTTGGCTCGATACCTTCATCTTCCATACGAGAGCTCATCTTCACCCACTTCCTTTGCAGTCGAGTAGGTAGGCGTCTCGCTATTATCTCTAGGACTGAACTTGAGTTCAGATCACTCATGCAATTCATCGAAATCAACGTATTCTTGTAAGTCACCAGATCATCCAGATGCTCATTGAGTGCCTTGGAGTCATCTCGTAATTGACCACCATTACCCTTAACAGCCTCGAATACGTTCCTTACAATCATCGAGGGTCTTCCGAATCTTTGACGCAGTATAGTCATGGAGCCAGAGTACTTTGACAAACGTATGTCCACTATGGGTTAGAAAATCACATTGTAATACATGGTTTGGGAAGAAATCTTCTTGGCTAGCGCCTTGTTTTGTCTTTGGCTAACTCTTTGTTTTTGTCTTCATAGTTTATAAATATTATCGTCTATTAAATAATTAAACATCCACACTTCTTATTCTTACTTCCCTAGTACGGTCGGCACAGCGTGCGTTCTGCCCGCTATGTTAGGCTGTCCCAAGCCATTTACGTAAAAATAGTTTTAGTTAGAACAGGCACGAAGGACATTTGTAGTTGAGGTCAGTACCTTGCCTCACGGAAACCATGTATAATAAAGCTCATGCTTCAACCAGTTTGGGTGGATCAGGCTGAGAAGGAAGCATGTCTTGAATAAAAATCCCGACAGCGCCATAAAACATCCGCGAACGGTGTTTCTAGTTAGTGCGAACAAGACAAAGGGCCTGAAGTCGTCGCGTAAAACATTATTATAATACTCTAAGACAAACGAAAATGTCGCACCTCATTTGTGATGCTTTCAGCTAATTCAAAACTGCAGGTATTTCATGACGACACGCTAACACATAATTACCACAAGTCACGTGAAAAAGAGCTTCTACACCATGGTATTCAACTACAGCTTTTATTCCTTTACGTCCCAGTGGAACATAGGGCTTCAAGATGGGGCTTTAGAGGTCTCGGCAGCAGTGGTGTATACTTTTACAGGGTAGGGCTGCTAGCCTCATACCTAACCTTCCCTCCTAACCAGTTTTACTACTGGTCTGGCGAGGTGAAGAAGTGTATAGGCCGGGGATCTAACCCCGAACAATCTAACGTTGTGCCACCGATGCAACGACTACCTCTTATTTACCTCATATCTTAAATCAAACAGGCGCAGCACAATCGGCGTCTGGAAGGAAAAAGTCATCTAACTTAGACCTCTTATACTTGACAAAATAGTTTACAAAATTTGAGGGGTGTACAAGCCTAGTAATTTCCTCCACCGGTACAAGAAAATACTTTATCCTTTGGATGGATATCCGGCTGGTTCATGAAGCTGAATCTGATCCTTTTTGCCTACAGTGGAAAGTAGCTTCTTTCAGATCCGCAAACATACGTTTAACAAAGGCGTTGGAGAGTTCTGTTGAATCTCTAAGGAAATTCCTGGACACGGAATGACCTATAAACGAATTTCACCACAGAATAAAGATTCCAGTGATTTCAAGTGAAATGACATATGCCGAAACAATAATGAGACCTGTCTAATCACTTTGATTGACTAATCATACACTGTCAAATTTCAGATCCCTCAAAAATTTTCTTGTCTCCAAAAGTAGCTTAAGGACGAGTTTATTCATTTCGATTCTTTTATCTACATCTCGCTCGAAGTTGAGAAGCCAACTGTAGTATATTTCCGGGATAAATCATGAAATAATTGCCGCGCCTAATGAATATCAGACTCAGCCTACTGGCTGGTCAGCACCAAGCAAAATTTGGGATGGGCTTAGATGACTTTTATGGACTTATCAAAATGTGTCACATCCTTTATATTTTGATCTATACAACGGGAGCAGCCTTTGATGGTTTCAGAATGGGAATGAAAATGATGTGATGGTGTGCCGACAGACAACGAACAAATAGTGTACAAGTGTATCCCATAAAGACTGACATGATTTGTAGCTTGGACAATGAAGGGAATTTCCGAAAATAAAAAAATACCAGTGGCTGTTGGAAGGAGACTTGCCCAGGGGAGAGTTCTATGGCCCTTTGTTAAGGTCATTACTTATTTGCCATTGTTCAAAGAAAACATGTAAAACCATGCAAGTTTATGTGTGGTTTACTAGAATTAGCATGATAGAATATAAAATGCTTCATCAAATTCTGTCACTAAAGGATGAGGCCTAAAGTTTACCCGCTAGTGAAACGTATTGGAAAGTAAGTGCGGTAATTCTCAGTTTACAACCTTTTACTTGTGTGTCCCTACTCTAGGTTCTTTCCCGTTCATGTCACACATTGGCGATTGCCAGCTCATCATCTCTACTGCTTGTAGAACAATATTCATGCAGACAGATTAGCTCCATAAACCGGTTCCAAAGAATTAACGTAGTGGTTTAGACCCTGTATCTTAAAATCAAGGCTAGTGAAAGCACAGTATTACAACTAAATTCGCACATTACTCACCTAAGTTTATGGATCAAGCAGCACTGTTTGATATAATAGTTATTGGGGTTTCTCATTGTTCACGCCTTAAAAACGACAATGAATTTTAATGCAACAGTAGCAATCAGCTACCACTGAATCAGGGGTGACAGGATCAGGATTAGCATAAGGATACCCTCAAATAACAACACTATTTTCTCAGCCTTGCATCACATATCGTTGCAGAATGACAACATAGATACTGAATAGATTTTCGTTCAATGGTAATTTGTTAGAATCATTGATTGTTTATTAGGTATCTGTGCCTCCAAAAAGTGAGGCTACTCAAAAATGGATCTTGGATCATTTTCGGTTTATATTATTCTGTGACAAATGACTCAGTCTATTTTTATACAAGGTAGTCTTATATATTATTTTTTCAGTTTGTATGTAGTTGGTCAATGTGGTAACCAAATTGGACATCGTTTTTGGGATTTGGCTTTAAGAGAACATTCAAGTGTAAACGAAGTTGGTAATGTTTAGATGTCAAAATAACTAATTTAGAAAAACCTTTATGATGGTGCTATGTCTTCATTCTTTTTGAATGGTGCCGGCGATGACGGTGGCTTTTTACCTAAAATTTCTGGCCTCAAAGCTCGTGTACCTGGAATTACTTTATAGTCATAGTCCTAAGGCTTTGCTTGTAGATATGGAAGAAGGTGTCGTCTGTGAGATGTTAAAAGGACCTTTAAAGAATCTATATGATGCTCGTTATTTCATCACAGACGTTTCAGGCTCTGGAAATAATTGGTAATGTTTGTTATTGGCGTATTCGAATTGAAATTCAGGGCAGTTGGTAACTTGCATTATGGTCATATACATCATGATGAACTTGCTGACGCTATAAGAAAGTCCGCGGAGCTCTGCGATTATTTACAGTGCTTCTTTATACTTCATTCAATGGGTGGAGGTTAGTAATTCATTCATTTGATGCATATCTGAAGGTACGGGTTCCGGAGTAGGCACTCATATTTTGAAAATTCTTGCGGATGAATACCCTGATGTCTATAGGTAGTTTTTAATGTTTTATTGATACTTATCAGAATGGACACTGCCGTATTTCCTTCAATGGATGACGATGTTATTACATCTCCATATAACACGGTTTTGGCTCTCAATCAGCTGTCTGAGTTTGCAAACTGCGTAATGCCCATTGATAATATGGCTCTCACAAATATAATAAGGAGGGCCAGAGCTCCTCCTGAACACTCCAAGAGTTTTGAAAATGCCATAAAACAGCGAGAATCCAGTGTGAAGCCGACGAAATCAAGAAAACCCTTCGATGAAATGAATAACATCGTTGCAAATATGCTTTTAAATCTAACAAGGTATAGTGTATCTTTTCCCTTTTAAATGGTGTACTAACAATAATCAATCGGATTTTCTTTCATCCGTTATAATACGTAGTAGAGAATTAAAGCTTATCATAGACCAACTGTATTTCGAATAGATATGCTATTGTGATGTGCCTTCATATCAATAAGATAGTGATTGTAGGATTTCTTTAGTTTTTAATTTTTTAAATGAACTGTGCTTTAGAACAACCTACATGTTTAAACTAAGGTGAACGATGTAAAAAAGTGAATGCATCTTTGTTGTGAACGATTTGGAACTATTCCAAGAGCAGTGTTCAACCAATGCTTCTACATCACAGAAGTGCAATATATTCTGTTAATGCAGTCTCAACACATTTAACACTTTCATTTACAGAGAGTTAACGGACCGTTCCTGAAGAGTGAAAGGTCCCATTGTCTTTAACTGTCAATGGATTTGTATTTAAAGTTTTTTATAATGTATTACGCCTTTCAGCTCTTCTCGTTTCGAGGGCACTATGAACGTTGATTTGAATGAGATTAGCATGAATTTAGTCCCATTTCCTCGGTTGCATTATCTTATTGCTGCACAAAGTCCTCTAAATATGACTGATCGAGTGTCAGCTCCTAGAAAGTAAGCATTGTTATTTTTAAATGTGTTTGAATTCGTTACCAAATATCTCTTAGTGTTTGACTGTTATTTCAATGGAATGTGATGATCGTTAACAGCTAGTAGCAATAATAAGCTGACTAAAACTTTTGCCTATAAATCGCGTAACGTTTTTGTCATGTATGTACAAGAAGGGAGATAAGAAACACTATTATTTAGATAACTTTATATCTCAACGCCATTTTTGTTATCACAAAACATAAGAATACCGTGTATTTTTGAACCACTACTATGTATTATGGCCTGTTGCTGGTGTTGTGTACTGTATTAACAGGTCATAAGCTTTGTCTGCGTCATCGTTTTACTTAGTATATGTCCATATGAGGTGTTTTTGGGACGACTTAGAGACAGCAGTAATGCATACAATTGATTGATGTACTCAGAGATCGTGTGATCGAGACACAATACGAATTAGTGGAGTGACTGACTATTGGTATGAGTCATTGAGAGAAGTAACGACTGATCGCAAGCAGTGGACCATATAAATAAAGTTTGTTATTTGTCTGTACGATATATTACAAAGTTGATGGTAGATACATCTACACTTTATTCGCATCTTCATTACAACATCATTGTGCCTTATTTAATCTTTTCCCTTGTGTTTTGGCATTTTGTAACTCCTAATTTCATCATAATGAAAGGACTAATGGTTATACACTTTTTATACACGTATGTAGTTAACCATCTTTACTAGAGAGAGAGATATACATTTGTGAATAAAGGTGTTATGTCCAAAGATATCATAGTTTTATCCTTGATATTAATATCTTTGATTAAGTCTACGAATTCAAATACATCTTTGACACTGTTTCACTATCTCCACACGCAAAGGTTTGAGAATATTTACTAACCATCTAGCTAGAGCGTGATAGGACAAATCTAGCATATCAAGTATTGGTCTTAATGGTACCCCTGGTCCATGTATTTTATGTAATCCATGCCGTCTTGGCGTGTAGGTACCCGTTGGCCTGATCTCTTCATATAAACTGTCGGGGAATATCTGCTCCTACCTTAGTTTCTTCAAGCGTCTGGTTAATTTGTTCTCTATTTTGTTATTGAAATCTTCCTCCTCAAGTTTTTGAAACTTCTGTGTCTTTCTAAATATCATTCATCTTTTGAGTGTAGTCACTTCTATCGAGGAGGACTACTCCTGATCCTTTATTGGGTTTTGTGACTATCAGTCTTTAGTCATTTGTCAGTTCCTTTGGTTCTTCTTTGTGCTCTTTTATCAAGAAACTAACTGTCGTATTTGATGTTTTCATACTGAAAGCAACAGTCCACTAGGTGTAACACCAACACAAACAAGATAGAACATTGATGTGATACATTTCCTTATCAATCCGAATGAGATGTACTTTTTCAGCTGACTTCTGGGAAATCATCGAGGATAATTTCAAGAATGTTACATCAAGTATAGAATACATTATTCCTGAACCATGGAGTTTTGCGCAGTCCAACGCAAACATCTCTGTCGTTATATACTTTTTAAGTTTGAGATTGTCGGGGGATTTTGTATCGACTGGAACAGATCCAAAAGAATGTGAAATAAACTGTCTGGCGTCTCAAAACTATACAGATAGACACTACAGACCAGGATCTTGGGGAAATGGGGGGCGATGAAAGTGGATGACTTACCACACTCATTTATCAGCAGAATTGACGCAGAAACGCAGTTAGAATATCTATACGGTCAACTATCTGATTTGAAACCCATAGATGAGGATAAAAATATTTATTTCAAGTGAGAAATACTTGATATTGCAGAATTGTGTAATATTTCTCATCACACGCAGTCAAAAGTATTTACTAAATGGCATAGGCAAGTGTTAAACAACCTGCAGAACAATGAAAAGATTGTTATACTTAGGTCAGACAAGAGTTCTGGCGTTGTTATATTGAACCAACAGGACTATATCTTCAAAATGACAACGCTTCACAGTGATATAATCCAAAAACAGCCTTGAAGAACCGAGTAAACAAAAACCTCAAGGAACTACTTAAAGAAAGACTAATGGGCAACAGCAGCTATAATAGTCTTAAACCAAGGGGTCCACCCATACTGTTCATGCATGGTCAACACAAAGTGCCATTAAGACTAATAGTGTCAAAAGTGAAGTCACCATGCCATAAACTGGTTAGATAGTTGTCACAAAATTTGGAGCCATTTCGAAAAAGGTTGGCAATCCATAGTATCAAGGATTCCTTCTAATTCTCTCGAGAATTAAATAAACGGAATATTTCATACAAACTTCTCGTGTCATACGATGTTTGTTCACTGTTTACTACCATACCCATTGAAGAAACAGTGAAAATCATATGCCAGCAATATGAACTACCTCCTCTTCCTGAAAAGGAGCTATGAAAATTATTATTCTTTTGTACAAAGAGCGTTCAGTTCCGATTCAACAGCCAGCTGTAGCGGTAAAATTAGCGGGGTGGCTATGGGTTCACCTTTGGGTCCTGTTCTTGCGGACACATTCATGACTCATCTTGAGCAGACTCGAGTGAAGCCGGAAATATAGACAACCACCTGTTACTGCAGGTATGTTGTTGATACGTCTGTGGTGTGCAATAATATGGATCACGAATCGACACTTTTAAAAACACAGTACGGCTCATTCCCACATCACATTTAAAATGGGTCATGATCATGACAATCACTTCCACTCCCTAGATCTCAAAATAAAAAGAATGGATGATGGGACGATTGGGAAATGCTCCTGTAGGAAAGAAACTTGGATTGATCAGTAATTGAATTGCTACAGCATTGATCCAATCGGCTACAAACTCAGCGCAGTAAAAATGCGCTTTAGCAGAGCTTAGGCGCTAGGTTTAGCAGATAAGACTGAAGAGGAACTCGTGGTTATCGAAAAGAACCTTATTGAAAGTGGATACCCCAGAAATTTGATGTGAAAATATAGACCAACACTCAAAACATTTGAAAAGCAACCAGTTTCAATCTGTTTATGTCACACTATTCAGTCCACATCTGCATATAAAAAATAATGCACTAATAGTCTTATTAAGAACTGGTTTTATATATTGAGGCTTTGAAATGTGAGTCGAGTCAGGTGTGGAAGATACACTGTCATCTGCACTAACACGTTACTGAACTATCAGTGTTCGTTCGCAGTTCTCTTGATCTGCCACTTAATGAAACATATAGTAGCAGACATGTATTCTATAAACCTCCATGACACAATATTTTTTAAATTTTATCCATATATTCGTCAGAAAAGTTACTTTGTGATTAAATTCATGTCTTGTTTGATATTGATTTTCAGGCTTGACCAAATATTTGCGGATGCGTTCACGAAAGACTATCAGTTAATGTCCACTGATCCTTGTCGACATGTTTATATGGCAGCTGCTTTACTTGTGCGTGGTGCAATTAATGCAACAGATATCCACCGGAATATTGAAAAGTAAGCCACAACAAAATAGTTAGCTCAACTGGACACTAAAAATTAGTTAAGACATATTATTATCATGTCATTTTTCGCCAAAAACCAGTGTCAGCTCATGATGAAATCCTGTAACCAACCACAATTGGAACTGAACCTTTTAGTTTTCACTGTCATTTCAGTTGTAGCTCTTCAGATCGTTTTGTTATTTGATTTTGTATTCACAAAACTAAGCTCATAATGAAATCCTCCATCCAATCAAACAAAATCCCAACAAAACCTTTACTTGAAGACTATGATTTGTTGGGTGGAAATGTGGTTAAAAGGCATTAACACTTGACTCTCGGTCAGAGAAACACAGGTTCAAATCCCTACCTACCTACCTACCTCAGTTCGGACAGCCGAATACTGTCGTCAGCCCATACGGTATGTTTAGTTCCTAGTTCGGTACATGAAAAAATCTAAAATGAGCAATGGATCGGAGACACTTACGTTCATAACTCCATACTTTTCTATAGTCGTCAAGCAAAGGAGAGAGAAATGCTTTTTGGCTCATACGATCCGTAGTGGGTTCCTGAACATCTTGACAGAGCCATAGACAACACAAGCTGGCAAATGCTTTATAAAGCCTTTATATATGCGCTATAGTGTTGTCAGCAATCAGTTCATTAGGGATGATGCAACTTCGTAAGCTAGTGAAGTACTGGAATTCTGTGCAGACTAAGTCACATTTTACAGTGATGAACTGCATGCCAAATACACTAACGCTTTCACCCAGATCATTCAGAAGACTCAATTTTAGCAGCGTCTCCACCTAAGATGATTAGATCACCTACCGTCTCTAAGTCAACAAGACTTCGTACTGGTAGACGTTATAGTCAAAGAGATTTATCGACATCAGTATGTCTATAATAAAATGGAATAAGAATGGTGTCTGTGAGCACCTTTCAAAAACACCACTAGTTGTCGTCATTTCAGACGACAGCATAACATACTTTCTTGGCATATCCTCCACAATCAGACATTGACTTAATCCCTCACAGTTGATGGAGTTGAATACCGCTTTAGTTTCTCAGGCTTCTACATAAAAATAGTAGAAATTTGACTCTATTTAAATGATGTACTAGTTTTCCACTACTAAAAGTATCTCATATTGACTAACAATAAGCATACGGAGACGTCTTTCATGTTATTCAGTAGTCAGTCATTAGTGTTACTTATTACTCACAGACTTTTTGAACAGGTTATTAATTCCACAAACGGCTGTTCGTACAGATGTCCAGCAGTCACTGTATTCACATAAGACAATTGTTTAACACAAGAACCGTGACATTTGGCCGTCGCTAAGTACAGGTGACAGACGTTTCTGTTACTTCTGGTGTCAAAGACTGCGAGTATTTCATCACTGTGGAATAGGGCCGTCAGTATATCTGCATGCAGTGTGTCTAGTAATTTGTGTGATAATTAGCATGGTATTACCCTATCACTAGTTGAGTAGCAAACTTTGCAAGACATGTAGCAAATAATTCGAAAGAAAAAATGCAGCTTCTCAGATCCTGAGTGCACTGATCTAATGCTTATTTTCCATCAGCCACCAAAATCATGTTGCATATTATCATAAGCTCTCAGCTGTTGTATTTAGTGACATTAGGGTTGCATTCATTTCATTAGACAAGAGTACATTATAGACTATTACTCTAAGGAGGAATGCTTCTAAGTTTTTAATATTCATAAAAAAATACCTGAAGTGGAATGACGATATTCATTTTTAATTGTCCAAATTCACAGATGGTGTTAAATGAAATTACCCTGTTTCGCTTTCCACCCTCGATTTATTTCTGATAACAGGTTTGGCCATCTGACTGTCTCTCTGTCTGTTTTTGACATAAAACTTTGCACTGATGTGCGGCAGTTCAAGTCGTCACACTCCATGTAGCCCACAAAGCAAGAGAAGCAACTAGAAGAAATCCAAAATACAGACAGTAGACAGGGATATGAGATAAATGGAATAGTAATAACGAAGAACAATATAGTTTCATTGGGTATTATAAGTCACAAGGAGTGGATGCATCGGCGCCATTGAGAACGATTTTGAGTCATATCATTGAATGTCTCCAGCTATTGGTTTTAATCGTTCTGAGGACCCAAACCAGGAAGTCTATACATTCCTACGTGACTGACTTAAACTAACTGTCGTGGATTTCATTGATTGATGCCATGTTTTGGTTTGACCGCCGGTAGCTCTTTTCTGACCTGATCCATCCTATGTCAGCTAACATTGCCCGTCGAGGAAGGCGATGATTAGGCATGCGTAACACATGTCCTAACCATCTCTCTCAATCGATGTAGCTTCGCAGCCTCGTCGACTGATTTCCCCTCCCACCTACCTAGCACTCGACCGAGGCCTTACCACAATATTGCTGACCCTACTATTATACTTCACAAGGGAGATAGAACGCAGGTGCCTATGATCAAAGACAGCTAACCAGCCTTTTCATGTCCTCCACTCTCAATGGTCAGGTCTCACAGCTGATGAGCAGTACACATGTCCTTTAGTCGATAGCCGGATATCAAGTCTACGCCAGGGATGGCGTATGTTGGCATATGCTAAACGAGCCTTCTGTATCCGTGCTGAGATTTCGTCAGAGATCAACCCGTTAGGGCTGATGCAACTTCCCAAATAAGTGAAGCGGTCAACGTGCCCTACCACTTCACTCCCTATTTCTAAGCTAGGAGTCAGTGCAGTCCGGTCGTGTAACATTATCTTACATTTGGCGGGAGCGAAGCGTATGCCAAACATTTGTAGATTGCAGTTCAAGGTGTTTAGAAGACTGTGCATTTTGTCAGCGTCTTCACCCAGAAGGACTGTATCATCTGCATATTCTAAGTCAACGAGATTATTCCCTGGTAAAAATTCAATCTCTTAGTCACTGAAGTTACTTAGGGTTAAGTCCAATAGTGCATCTATGATAAAATTGGATAGAAATGGGGATAGTGGGCATCCCTAACGGACACCACTAGTTGTCGCCACTTCAGATGACAACTCTCCGTATGCTCTAACCTGGCTGGCTGCATGAGTGCGAGTAGAGTTAAGTGGCTTGACAAGTGCAATGTATTTCCTCGGCACTCCATTCACGACCAAACACCGCCATAGTACCTCTTGGTCGACAGAATCGAATGTCGCTTTCAGGTCAAGAAGTATGATGATCGTTGGACGCTGCAAAGTACGCCTATGTTCCAGAATCTGTCGAAGGGTGAAGATATGATCAATACACACCCTTCATGGTCTAAATCCTTCTTGGTTCTCTCGTGTTTGCTCCTCCTGAGCCCCACTTAGTCTACGCAATATTATTGGGCCTAGAACTTTAGATACTATATTAGTCAAGCTAATCCCTCTGTGCTTATCAAAGGAAGACTTGTTTCCCTTCTTGCATATGGGGATAATCAGTGACTTACACCAACCCGACGGGACTTCCTTTGATTCCCAGATGCTGCCTAGTACCTCAGTTGACGCAGATAGTAGACTGTCTCCACCATACTTAAATACCTTTGGAGTCATTCCATCAGATCCTGCTGCGTCGCCTTGTTTCAGACTAGTGATGGCTTTAGTAACCTCAGTTAGGGAGAGAGGACCTGTGTTTATATCCCATTCTGGGAGGTGTTGGCAAGTTGAGCGTGGCTGTAGGCCAATTGAATTGCTCCTCAGTGTTCTTTCCAACGTCCTAGTCGTCTATCTTGAGACCTAATTATTGTGCCATTTTTTCAGTGATTGTTTCACTTGTCGTTTGCCTTTTACCACCTGTTTCCCGGATAAGTTTAAATAGTTGTCTGGTGTTGCCAATCGCCAATGCCTTTTCCATCTCTTTCGCTTTTGTCACTCATCACTGTTCATGGTTTTTACGAAGGCTTCGTGTTAATTTGCGTCTGAGTAGCTTTCGCTCCTCATCATAATCAGAGCTCGCCGGAATCAGTCTTCTTGCGTCAATCAGTTCGGATGAGGTGGTAGAGATCTCATTGCTCTAACTAACTTTTGGTTTTAGGTTATTAACAGCTTTTACGGCTGTGTCTACAGCTAACTGTATGTTGTGTCAGGCTACCTCAGGGGAAGTTCTGCTGTCGACCTCAAGCACTCGTTTCGCTATTTCCTCCTTAAATATGGATTCAGTGTGTCGATCTAGTTGGAGACTTAAGTGCTTCTCTGCCAGCAATTTCTTATGAAGTTTAGTCGTTAGCATAGACATGCGCGGACAACGATACCCTATCGCTATGTGGTCTATCTGAGTCCAGCGTTGATTTGGTGATGGAGGTCACCAGGTTACGCAATGTCCGAAGGTAGTGCTGACTAGGAACAGATGATTATCTGAGCAGAACTGTAGAAGACGATTACTGTTGTCGGTTTGTCGGCAGGGAACTCCATACGTACCACCTACATACTTCTCAGTCTGGCACAACTTCCCTACTTGAGCATTGAAGTCGCCTGCTAAAACAACTATATTTGAACGTTTTGCTTTTTGCAGCAAATTAGATAGTTTCAGGTAGAGATCATCCTCTAGTTCATCAGAACTGTAGTCTGTTGGGGCGTAAATGGAGACTACGAAAAGACGACGACGGGTAACGCCGTCCTTCCTTCTTCTAACGGACCCGTTCAGACGGACTGCACACATACTACTATCTACTGGGATCCAGTCAAGAAGTGATTCTTCTGCCCTAACACTCAATGTTATCTTTACACCTGTGAGCTAGCTGAGGTGTCTCCTGACATTCTTAAGCTGAATTTTCAGACTCACTTTGTTGACTGGGTGAGGTTAAGTGAATAACCACACTCGGGTCTTGTATGCGTATCTCCGAAACACAACATACATTCCTGGCTCGAGATGCCAGAGTCCTTGCTAGTGATGCCTGTTATCCGATTTGTCAGAGGGTCCTGACGTTGAAAGCTCCTATATGAAGCTGGCGGTGTGGCTTTAAGAGACTGTTGGGGGGTGTTTTTGTGGCTCTCATCGTTGTCTGTAGTCACAAAGTGAAGTAAAGAATAGTATAACTATAGTAGAGGAGTGAGATGATGAAGGTGATGTGGGTAAAGGAGAATGATGCTCGGGGAGGCTTCGTGTGCTGTTGGAAGTGTGTGGGTAGTTGTTGCTTCCCATCTGAGCTGCCCACACCGTGTGAGTTGGTTGATTCTTCAGGTGCCTGAAACAGAAAGAGGGTTAGTGTTGCGCAACGTCAGAGCCCAGGGGACAACTGCTTGATGCCGGTCATACAAGGCCTGTAAAAACTAGTTTCTTGGTTTGGTTCCATATTACTAAACTTACCGCTGGTTACGAACCACCGTAGGGTGAGTCGGGTGTAAAATTTCTGGGGTCGACCTTTTCTAACCCCCTCTCTCCAGAATGTAGAGACAGCATAGTTGGCATGCTGGTAACCTGAGGGAAGCACCTCTGCTGTCACACCCCTGTTCTCCAGCAGTAGGACTTCGCCCAGCATAGTGTAAAAATTCTTACACTGCTCCGGTAACTGCTTTTAGTCTAATCGCTATTTTAGCAAACTTCGTGGCATGGCAGGACCTGCAGGAACAATAGTTTCAGCCAGTCTGGCTTGTTGGGTTATTGCGATGTGGAAGCCCGACCACCACGTCAAGGTAGCAGCTATCGCTCGGGTTGGCCATCTGAAGGCTGAATATACTGCTCAGAAGTCTAAAGCTTAACAGTAAGGTTTACCTTCGTACACAAAGATCAATTACTGAACACGGAGTTCCTGGATCAGTGATTATTATCTTAATATGCAATAACCAACATAAATGGCTAAAAATTAATCTCATAGATGCAAGTATATTCAATTTTCACGCTTACTCCTTTATGTTTTCCTTTCTTTTAATTCATTCCAAAACTGCATTATTTTCATATTTTTCATCTCTGCCCCCTTTACGTGACGTGATGGTATGAGATATAGTAACTTTGATTGCTATTTAATGGTACTAAGTGTTGTTTAGGGGATGTCTTTCTCTTCAAGTAATACATTCACTTACATGTGGGTGGACTTAGTCTTGAAGATAAATCATGCATGGGTCGTATGTGTGGTTTATTCTGAATACTGATGTAGGTTTGACAAAAATATTTTCAGTAACTTCAAAAACAACACCAAAGTGAAATGTACCAACTTGACTAATTTATAGTGCCGTTGGGCCAGTCAAGATTGCAGCAATGGTGCAGATTACTCATTCCTTGTTATCATCTACTCTCTGGAAATCATTCCTAGTCTTTATTTAATTATTAAATATTATTATTAGTTCCTTCATGTTCCCAGTGGAAAGTAAGGCTTCGAGCTAGAGGCTTGAAGTTTCTGTAGCACTGTTTATTTTTATAGGATGGGGTTGTTAGCCTCATGCCCAACCTTTCCTATTTACCAGCTTTATTTCTGGCTTAGCGAGGTAAACGAGTGCGTCGGCCGGGGATCGAACCCCGGACCGTATGCATGGTCGGCGAGCGTCCTCAACGCTGTGCCACCGACGCATTTCATTTAATTACGTTTTCTCATTCGTACATTTTCGTCCATTGTAGCTTTGTTGCATTTCTTTTTTCTACTTTGTTTTGAAATGTGATAATTTGAACTGACTGATGTACTTTTGCACTAAGTTCTTCGTTGGTATATCATTCCTTAAGGAATGTTACGGTGAAACACTGTCTTTGATGTCATAAATCATTTTGCAAATACTATTCCAGCAGCTTCATACTATCAATTATTTCTTAGCTGTATTACAAGTAGTTGAAGGATAATTATCTTGTAACTCTGCACTAAAGGCCGGGTATTGTTGCTTTAGTTTAATATCCGTTTCTAATGACAACTGTGGTATCAGTCTGCGTGGTCATATAACCCAGTGGATTGAAACGTGATCATATATGACTGAAAATGGGAAGTGCTCATTGCAAAGTGTTGAGAAGTTATATATATGTATTCAGTTTCTTCTAGTTCTATTATCTTCATTACGTTTGGTTTACATAATGTTCCCGGTATTATGTGAACTCTGTTTCTGCTAATATAAGCTACTAGTATCTTTGTGTTCCGAGTGGAACCTAAGGGTTTAAGCCTGAGCTTCGGCTTTTCAGTAGCGGTGGATTTTAACGGGATGGCTATGCTGTCCACGAATGTAATATTCCCTCTTTACTGATATTAGTACTGGCTAACCAAGGTCTAGGATTGCGTTGTCTGGGAATCTAGACCAGACCAGGTGTGTGGTTGTGGAGTATTCTGTCAATAAGCTACCGATGCACCATAAAGTCTGTTTAAAATGTATAAAATAAGTAGTTATCTAGATTTATTTTTATTTTTTTTTATTTTTGATTTACAGCTTGATTCCACACTGTATTTTTGGTACAAGTATGGAATTTTCAGCATGGATATCGGTAGCCCAAATTTTGCAGGCCGACCATAGATATCAGGTGTGCGCCGGCGTGGGCTCGAACCCCGGACCATGTGCATGGTCGTCGAGAGTCCTAACCACTGTGCCACCGACGCTGTTAACTATTTAGCTTAAACCCTTGTGAGTCCCGTTTTTTGAAGCTGTAACATATGATCAGGTCTTTTCCAATATTTTAAAACATTCAGTTTTTATTCAGTATTTGCTTATGCCACTCACAACGTATTGACAGCCTTTTCATACACATTTTAAATTTCCATTTTCTTCTGGTTAATTATCATTACGGCTGGAATAAAGATTAAGACAGAATTTTGCTCTTGATTCATCGTTTCTCCTTTCTGTTATTCTGTTAGATTACGCTCTCGTTTACGCTTTGTCCCGTGGAATCGAGAAGGATGGAAAGTTGGACATTGTTTAGTTCCACCGGTTAACCATGTATATTCTCTGCTGGCTCTTTCTAATAACACTTCTATTCATGAATCATTTAGCCTTATTTTAGAGAGGTTTTATAAACTTTATCGAAGAAAGGTATGTTAGAACTGTTTATCTTTTATAGTTATTCTTTTTTTCGTCCGTATCTTAAACAGTTATTGCAATTAATTTCCGACTGTAAGATGATTTGTTGCATAAATGTCCTTTAGGGAAAACTCTATCCAAAGTATTCTCTTAAAGAGAAAGTTGAAGTTTCACTTTGTCTTTAGAGGGGAACATGCGTGATGGTGTGTTTTCTTTTTTTTTTGATTTTTGATTTACAGCTTGATTCCACACTGTATTTTTGGTACAAGTATGGAATTTTCAGCATGGATATCGGTAGCCCAAATTTTGCAGGCCGACCATAGATATCAGGTGTGCGCCGGCGTGGGCTCGAACCCCGGACCATGTGCATGGTCGTCGAGAGTCCTAACCACTGTGCCACCGACGCACAAATATTCTTTTCATCACCTAATAACCGCTGGAGAACAGCTGAAATTTCGAGGGAGGTAGATAGCTTATCTTTACTAAATGGGGACAGCGATATCTTGGTATTGCGATAAGTGCGTCATCACTCAATTTTTAGGTCCAAATTAAATCCATATTTTCCAAATTCAAGCAAAATTCTGGAATTCTTCCTATTTCAACCATGTAGTCTTACATTTGTTGTCTGAATTGTCTTCTATCTATGCTCAGGTTGTTTAGAAGGAAACTATTTGCCTAAGACAGTAGTACTCCGTGTACAAGTGGTATAATAGAGTGAGTAATATTCAGGTTAGGCGTTAAATTTCGGATAAAGGAGGTAGCTCAATCGGTCAGGTTGTGAGGGTGAACCGACTGGCATGACTAGGACACGTCGCACATGCTAAGCCATCGCCTTCCTCGATTGGCAATGTTAGCTGACATATCGTTAGGTTGGAAAAGAGTTAGGGGGTGATCAAACAAAAACCTGTCATCAGTTCATGCGGTCTATTAAAGTTGGCTTAAGCAAAGTAGGAAAATGGATTTAGGCTGTCTGGTTAAGTGCTTCGGGGTGATATACACCATCTGATGGAAACTATTTGCGATACAGCCTAAAGTTGTTCTCGATGGTGCAGATGCATTCACTCTTTATGACTCTCTATATCTACTAAACCATTACGTCTTTCCAGGTTGATGTTCTTTCTCTCTAATTTCTGCTCATTAGAGTTCTTCGGAATCTCTATCTTCTCTATTTTGTCCACCTTTGTTTCCTACATGGAGTGTGGCAGCTTGAAAGGCTGCACTTCTGTGCAAAGTTCTATATTGAAACACAACCAGTCAATCAGAGAGTTTATATCCATATTTTTCCATATTTCCCTCTATAGAAGTCAGTGTTTTCTAAAGTGTGAACAGCAGTTCTTCACATTGGGTGAGGGAGAATGTACGGAATTATTTCTCTTTTATGTAACGAAAGCATGCATGAACCGAATGATTTCCAGACATTACATACGCGTATGACAGTCCCATGGAATTCTTCATCATATAAATATATATGCTGCTTAAATCTGGTTCCAATGTAGAGCACAACACAACCAGAAGACAAACATCGTCACCAGACGCATTGAATTTCATCTTCTATCTCTACGGAAACCTGTGATTGTCGGACTGATGTTATGAGTACATACGTGATCCGATGTCAACGAACAGACAACGACGGTCCTATATTTTTGTTCAGACAGCCATCTGTCCCTGTCAAGCACTGAATCCAATCAAACCGAGAGAAATTGTCTCATGTGCTAACGTCAAGCCAACATTGTACGCCAATAGACCACTTTGTATTAAGTTTTTGAAGGAGCGTTACCATCGTATGATGTGCAGTATTGACACTCCTACGAGAAGTAAGGAAGTGAAGTGATTTCCAAGAAAGAGGGAAATTATCTGGAGTGACGTATGGAACGTTGTGCAGAACACTTTGTGGAGCAGTTCGCCTGGTCCATAGCTGCACTATAATTGCTTACAATCAACCGCAGACTAAGCAGTTGAAGCCCTATGTTCCACTGGGAACCTAAGGGAACAATAATAATATATAATAATAAACCAGAGCCTAAAAATGATGTGGACATCGGTCCGCGGAATCTACTCGACTTTTTAAAATCCCGTTTCTCATCTGATTCCATCCAGTCAAAGCAGCGGGATTTGATTTTCTGACTCCAGTAGTGATTATTATTGTTGATAACATTAACAAGGGTTCTAACCTCGGGAATCCCAAATAGTTTCATCCCACTGACTGAGTCTCCGGTGTAGAACTCTGCACAAAACCTGTCAGTTCAAGTCAAGTTTTCACACTCCATATGATACACGGAGTTAGGGCAAAAATGTACAACGGCACTGTAGTGGATGAAAACTTGAGAGTGAAAGCATCTGCACCAGTGACGACAACTTTGAAACACGTCGAATACAATTTCCACCTATTCGTTCCTTGGATGTCAAAGACCAAAGTATGACAGACTGAAGCCATCTACTTAGCTCAAAGCAGCGGCCAACAACTTCATGGATTGATTCCAGGTTTCTCTTTGATCACCTGTAACTCTCTTCCAACCTAATCCTAATCCAGCGGACAACTATTATCACTGTGTAATGTGAAGACACGACATGCGTATCACAGTTTCTAGTCACCCAAATCATTGGAGATTCACAACTGCGACGTTCAATTTTCTCTCCTTATCTTTCAATCTACTCGTAATCTTACTTTATATCCAAATGTTGAATGCTCCAATATAGAGTTAGCTATATAGTTTTAAGAGTCTAGGAACTCTATTTCCTTTTCCTGGGATACTACCTACGGTCAGCGAGTTTAAAAATGAGGAAATTACCTAGGAAATCGTGTTACTTTGATAACGGGGAAAGACGAACAGGATAATCAGAATAATTTTCTGTCGGATGCGGGTGATTGCTATCTCTCAACTCCTAGTACTTTTGATTTGTTTTCAGTGAACCTGATAGCAAGAAGACACTAGTGTTGTTTTATACCGTGGCCCACGTAACAACTACTTGATATCAGTCACATACGATTTGTTTGGAGATGAATTTTCATGCTGGTGGAAGACTACACTACTGACGATGGATCCCTGCGAGATAAGTTGTGATATTTAATTTTCGCGTCCAATCTGTTCAAACCTTTCCTCCGAAGCGATTTTCCAGCATAACTAGCTTGTTGGTTGTTCGAAGTAAACACTTTATTGCCTTTACACTCTTGTATACCAGTGGTGCGATGTCAAGCCTCACGGTGATTGGGAACAGCTTACACTATTCTGCGTCGGTGCGTCGGTGGCACAGCGGTTAGGACGCTCACCGACCATGCACATAGTCTGGGGTTCGATCCACGGCCGACGCACACCCGATATCAATGGTCGGCCTGGAAAATTTGGGCTACCAATATCACAAGCTGAAATTTCATACTTGTATCAAAAATACTATATGGAGTTAAGCTATAATAAAATAAATAAATAAATAAATGCTTTCAGCGTTACTTTTACCCGAATGACGCTCCCAGAATAGTAGAACCTTCAGGAAAATTCGTTCTTATCAGTATAGATGGTTCTGAAATTAACATCGTCATCCGTTCCGCCTGTAGTTGAAACGATGCTTCCCAGATAAGTGAAGTAAGTAACCTCTGTGAAATCCCTCCCGTTGATGGTGATTCGTGCTGGTTGTTGTTGTTGTTGCTGTTCTTTGGTTATCTTCATCACCTCCATCTTCTGTAGGTCACCTGCAGTCCTATCTTCATCGCCTGCTTCTCCAGCCAGTTTGTTACTTTATGCTTACTAGTCTTCGAGTTTGTGTAACATTAGACATATATCATCTGCGAAATCCAGATCTTCTAGAGTCCTGTTATCGGTGGTCCAGCGTACCCCTGTCTCCTCGCTCCCAAAGCACAGTTTGATATATAGTCCAGTACACCACAAATAAGGCAGCCAGCTTGTCTTACTCCTGTATGCCCTTCAAACACCTCTCTGAGTTTCCCATTGTGGATCACTTGACTGACACGTGGTATTGTCATTTAGCCAGCCATCTGTTGAATGAGGTTGATAAAGATTTGGGCACTGTACGTCGTACTGTCGGAGTTGTTTCCAAATTACTTCTTGGTCAACACTGTCTAGTGAAGGCCTTCTCGAAGTCGATGGAGCTGAGGTGGAGGTAGGCTTGACTATCATTCTATGCTTTGTTCTGTGATGACGATGCGTGCAGTCGCAATTTAATCAGCACATGATTTGCCTTTCCTGAATCTAGCTTGTTTGGGTGGGCGGAGTTCTGCATACAGTGCATCTTTCATCCTTTCCAGGATGATGAGACCTAGTATTTTACTTGGCGTGGACAAGAGTATTAGTCCACACCATTTCTTGCACAGTGAGGTCTAAGCTGCTCTTATTTGGCAGCTTGACGCGATAGCCTTCCTGCCAGTCAGTAGGTACCTTCCTTTCCTTCCTCCAAACACTGAACTTGGCATCTCCTTCTGTTATCCATCATTGCATTGAGTCATATTCTCTTCCACCATCCTTTTCTCTTCGATTAGCTTCCAGGTAGGTATCCGTTGAGAGCCATTCTTTGTCGTGTCTCTACTTTCTTCCTAAACAGTTGTACACGTTCCCTTGATTATCGCGTTTAGAGAGTTCCACACAGGCTTCCTCAGTTATGGCACGTGGTGTCCCCGACTTTACTCTGATAGCTGCAGTACACGTACCTTCTGTAGTCGCGTCTTGTTGAAATTGAAGTGTAGCCTGTCTCCAGTTGTTTTTTTCAGGAATTTCAGCTTCACGTTGAAGGTTCTTTGAACCAGATGGTGGTCTGAGCCCATATCTACTCCCCTCCTCGATTTGCGTTCACCAGGCTAGCTGCGTCTCCACTTCCTTGAGCGGTATTAAGATGAAATCCATCTGGTTTGTGGTGTGTTTGCCTGGCGAAATCCATGTTGCTTTGTGTATATCCTTGTGCTTGTACACTCTGCCTCTGATTAATAAATTATTGAAAGCAATGAAGTCTACGAATAATTCTCCGTCTTCATTCATTTCTCCGAGGGCCTCCCGACCCATGATGAATTCTCTTCCTGAGTTGTCTGCTCCCAGTTTGACTTGCATTCATTCCGCCCATGAGGATTTTGATGTCACCATTCGAGATGTTGTCCATTACTGTTTGTAGTTGTTTGTAAAAATCTTCCTTCTTTTCATGTTCCGTGTTGTTTGTAGCACTGTGAATATTATTGCTTGATAATTGTGACCTACGTTCCTTTTGAGTTGAAGCTTGCGGTCATCATCCTGGATAAAATTAGTCCCCACAGCGTTATAGCTTTAGCTGGCACTGGTGATATCGTACAGCCACTCACTGCCTCAGTATGCTCGTAGTTGTCGTCTGGGTGACCAGGCCGAATTAGATTACTGACTCTGCAGTTGACGATTTTGATAGCCCACATCCATTCCATCTGCTCTCGCAGATAGATACCTATCACTTCTAAGCCATATCTCGCATTTCTTTCGCTACCTGGGCAGCGAACGGATATTCCACATATCCATTCTCATTCTTGCTTTGCCTAATTAGCTTCACGAATCTTGGCTTTCACCAGCCGGCTGTTTCATTTCGCCTTTCCGATTTAAGGAAAGAATAAGATTGTTATTTGAATTCTTGTATTTTCAATATATTTTTTGTGCGTTGTAGTTTTTCTAGTAGTTTGTTAGCTTTTATGGTGCAGGGACACTAGCCCCACGCCCAACCTTCTCTCTTTACTCAGGTTTGGGACTGACTCGCTAAGTAGCGAGTTAGTTAACCAGGCGAAGTTACCGCCTGTTGTAGTACTATTCTGTTTCTGTTCTCATTCGAATCGTGGCTACTTGTGATAGTGCACCTCCAGATAAGGTAAAACATTGATTTTCCAGCCATAATACCATGTATCCGTGGTTGCATTATCAAGAAAGCTAGTGTAACCCATATAATCACTGACTATCAGTTTCAGATGTATAGTGAAATTCATTTTACTGGTACTGTGTTAATGGCTTCCAACTTTTTATTTTGGCAACAGATCGAGCAGTCGGTCAAACTGTTCTTCACTGACCCTGGATAAAAGGAGTGTCTTCGAACAATTTGTAATCTCTTTGTACTTAACTTCTCGAGCACCATCAACTTCGCAGATGCTTACATGTAATTATTTTAAGCTCCACCTTGAATTTTCTTTCAGCTCTTGATTGACTTTATGCGAAAGTAGGAATTATCAACACAGTGAAGAGAAAAAGGTATTTTTATAAGTATATTTTACTAATATAGGGACTGACATTACTCCGTAGCACTTCATGTTTACGGAATAACCAACGTCATATGTCTAGGTCCCAGTGTTGTTTTATCACAAAGCTAGGTATCTCGTTAAGGCAGTGAATTGCGAATTGATGTTAGCTTCTTAGAGCCAGTCGATAAGGCTGAGTAGAACAGTGGTAACGTCTCTTGCTTATGCAGATTTGAATCTCATCAGTTTGTTTGGGAGTAAGGATTTTGATCCGACCACTTGTAGCTTCCTTTCGATGTCTCCTTACTTCCTCTAACACAGTTCTTTCTGTCAGACAGGTGATAGGAAGTCATTTCTTGTAAAGTAAGTAAGTAGTCGAAACAAGGACTCTTATAATCTTTGAGAAGGACATCGTACTTCACAGATACTTCTCTTCATGCATGTTACTGTTACAAATGTTGATCGTTGCAGTCAATTGTCAAAGAGAAGAACTACCACCGTACTCCAGTATACTTATTTCCTTAGGTCTGAAGACGAATGAGTGTTTGACCGATACATTCATGGTGGAAATTATGTGCTTATGATTTCACTGCATTTAATTTGTCAGTTCGCCCACTTAAAAATTGGAGTTATATACGCGTATCAGTTAGTGAAATTCATTTTTTATTTCTCACTGGTATATCAAATGTCACTTTGTCATCATTGTCTACAGTAATCAGTTATTTATCTGCACTTTCGCTCTTACTCATGGTGTGCACAACTCCTGGTGTTAGAGGTTTGTTATTTTATTCTTTTTACTTTTATGATTCTGACGCGTGTGATTATAATAAGCCGAAACAATTTTCATGTTAACTCTGCTTTTTTTAGGCTCATTTACATCATTACACTAGTGTAGACGGTTTTGATGCCAGTATGTTTGAGTCGAGTGTTAACTCACTTCAAGATTTAGTGGTCCAGTATATTGATTTTGAGAAACAAGCCCGCTGTCAAACTTCACCGGATTTACCACGACTGGAGATTATGGATTGAGTGAATTGAAATGTGCACATATGCGTTTACCACATTGCTGCCAATTTCTGTATATTACTTTGTATTATAAGCGTAACAGTGTTACACAATATGATTGTCGTTTTTTTTCGTTTCTTTCCTCTTCTGTAAATAAATTTGTTCTCTACAGTAAAGTTTTTTGCTAAATGTAGTACCTATTAGTTTTTGTACTATTTCGATACTATTACACTTTCTGCTAGATGTGTTTACTGTGGCGTTAATAGCTTGTTCAGTATGCACGTAGGCACACTGGCGTGCTTATTGCTGAACAGTTCAAAATTGTCTCACTAATAAAATATTATTTATTCACGTTTACAAAAATCACTGAATAGCGAAGCTGCCTCCAATAACTTCATCGACTGTAAAAGTTAAGGAGAAACGGTGACTGAATCGCTAATATGAAACAATTCATCAAATAACCTGATATGATTGATCACAAACAGGTGGAGTTCAGCCAACTGTAGAAAAGATCCGAATTCTGTGTTTTTAAGCTAATCATTCATCTTACATTGAAAATATTATGCTTAACTACTACTGGCTGTACTGCCATCATACTTTGTCGTACACTTTCATATGTGGAGTTTTTTCATCTTTTGCCATTGTCCTTAAGAGAGAGAGAGAGAGAGAGAAAGAGTCTGGCGTGCACGATTACAGTGAACTTTAAGTAAATTCACGTTTCAGCGAATTAAACACCGAATAAACGCTTATCTAAGGATATCGTGGTATTACAGTAGGCCTAACTGTTGTGATTGATTCAGTAGGCACCAGAACCGAAACTGTATTAAACTAATTTATTGCTAACAGACTGTTGGAGTTGGTTCAGTTACGAAGTGATTGCAATGTACTTTTGTTATTTGTGTTTTACTCCTGCAACACAGATTCGTCTAAACATAAGCTGTAGCTTCAGATAATTGATATTCTCCACCGACTGTGCTAAGTGGATGTTGTAGATACCAGGTGGGCACTAGAACACATGGGTGGTGCGCCTAAGGCCAAATAGTAATTGTTAGTTTTCTGGAGGTCAGATAATGGAGGTAGTCTTCTGCATCTTTATTCAGATCACAACCAATTCCTTCCTATCCACTGTAATATCTGGAAAAGCTGTCTTGGTTTTGCTATATGGAGTCCTCCGTCCTTCACTGTGTTCTGGATTGAAACGTGTCGCCTTGAGGAAAAGTATTATTGATGTAGATGCATACAAGAATGTTACCTTTTCCTAAAATTCCTTATGCCCGCTTCTGTGTCTCTGAAGTCTGACACCTGTCTTGATAATTTATCTGAAGCAAACTGAATTAACAAAAAATAGTTGCATTGATCCGCAATAGATCCTTCACGAAGAATAGACACTGTATGAAGGATGTCAACTGTCATTCTCTACAGCTTAGAAGAACCGTCTCATGCATCAGCACCAGATTTTTCCGGAGTCTGAAAATCCTTTAATGCAAATAGATTCATCTCCAGATAAAACCAAGCTCAATATTCTTAAGAAGGTCCTCAGCTTTACTGTTATGAAATTGTCATATTGCTGCGGTCCAGACTGACTACTCAGTAATTTCAATGACTTCACAATTTAATTTGTGGGATTCTTCGCAACATCTGCAGAAGCCTGTATGTGTACACATTCACACAAGCCAGCCATTAGAAGTTAGCGTATTTAAGTGGTCACACTATTGCTGAAATTTCCAGTTGTATACTAAATGATATGTTGCTTGACGCAATGTTTTTAGCTGTCATGGCTTGAGTTAGCAACTCTTGGAGCATTAGTTTTGTTCATTGATTTAAAAGTGTGCCCTTTGAGTTGCTGATATCCAGAAAATACAAGTATTTGATCACTGCTGTCTCAGATACGTGCACCATATAAAAGTGATACTGATATCCTACAATATATGGTCTGATTAGTTGGCGACTATTTTTCACCAAGGGAAATAATTTTGTCGGCGGCTTGGTCATCTGCTTTTAAATCTCCACTAGCCCAGTCCAAAACTTTTAGCATTAGCCATTCTGAAGAACCTATGGAATTGACTGTGGTGTAAATCAAGGGTCGTCTCAGCTAATAATAAAGATTTCTTCTTTGCATTCCAAGATACTTTATTCTTGTTGAATGAAGGTCAATCTTATGGCTGAATTCGGGTTGCAGTATATCCAACTTCGAACAGGAATACAGAACTCCTACTATGGGACAGTCGACCACACAATTTTTTAAGCACGAAAAGCTTTCATCTTACTGTGTTCCTATCGGTGTTGATACTATTCCGTCGGTGGCACAGTGGTTAGGACTCTCGCCGACCATGCACATGGTCCGGGGTTCGAGCCCGCGCCGGCGCACACCTGATATCTATGGTCGGCCTGCAAAGTTTGGGCTACCGATATCCATGTTGAAAATTCCATACTTGTACCAAAAATACAGTGTGGAATCAAGCTGTAAATCAAAATAAATAAATAAAAATTAGGTTCTCCACCTTTTCTTAACTCTGAGACCATAAGTAGCAACTTGTTCTGTAACTAATAGTTTCTTAAAACTGCGCTGCCAACTTCAACTTGAAGCATTCAAGAGCTGGACGTTACTCCAGGTCGAACAGCAGGCTTCACTAGCCAGAACTACGATATCTCGAGACCTGGATGTATGGTGTGTTTCGGAGGCACGCTACAAGACCCAGGTTTTGTTACTCACTTAACCCTGTCTGGCCAACAGGATGAATCTGCAAAGATCACCTTGTGGCTGTCAGAAGATTCTTCAGCTTGTTCGTATAGGCTCGTTGGTGCAGGGCGGTTTGGAGTGTTCCGACAGAAAACTCCTGATTTGATTTAACTCCAGTGGACAATTAGTCGTATTTGTGCTGTTCAGCTGAATGGATCTGTGAGAAGAAGAAAAGATTGTCATAACCGTCTATCTATTTACATAAACTCTGCTTACTCCCCAACCGACTGCTATTTGGATGTAAGTAAAAGATGACCTCAATCACAAGCTGTTTAGTTTGCGACTGAGAAAAAAATGATTGGATTGAGTGATTACCAGTTGATTTCACTGATTTAGGAAAGAGGCTGCTAAGTCTCGAAGGTGTATTCAGAACACCTATGGAGTCCCATGCCTAGTAACATACAACGATGATTATTTTTCACTGCTCTGTTCAGGTAATCATTTGTTCCTCGTCAGCGTTATCTTCAAATACAAGGAAAGACATTATCTAACCTCTGTCATCAAGTCGATGGTGAACAAAAATAGATCGCGTGGCTACAAATTGTACTCGATGAAGTTCGCTAGAAGACTGAGTCTGCCTCTCGAACACCTGGATTGGCGCTAATCATGCACTGGGTCGTGCACGTATATACTTACAACTAAAGAACCATAGAAGGCAGGAAGCCAATACGCTCCCAAATTGACCAGTACAAAACGCCTTTACTCAGGGAAGAAATAAATAAACGTAGGACAGAGATTGACAGCAAGACGCCTACTGACGACTCCCAGCATGAAATTCAATCAACTGTAAAGACAAAAGTAAAGTGTGTTGATAACCTGGAACCTTAGGTAAGTAAATACCAGTGGATCTCTGTTGACTCATCCGAAGCTGTCGACGCAAAATGTTGCTTTTGATGTGCTTCGAACATGACGCAGGACGGAAATTACTCGAATGAAAAGTGACAAAAAGTCTTCGCGACGACTATGAACGGCAGCGGGAGACAAATTCTAAAGAGATGGAAAAGTCATAGGAAATTATTTAGACTCATTCAGGAAATGGGTTGGAAAAAGTCAATAGTGAGCGAAACTATTTTCGAGGAGAACGGTCCTTTGATTAACTCTCACGAAGAACAACTCGAACTTTGGAGGGAACAATCTGAGAAGCCATTTAACTGGCCTACATCCATGTTAAGATTTCGCAATTACTAAAACACACCTGAATGGGATGCAGAAACCGGTGATTAAAGTGTGAGTGAGGCTAAAGGAACAACGTTGTCATTAGTTTTCAGCTAAAATCGCATAGACATCGGCGAGCCTCTGCGACTATGACGTCCACCAGTAAGAAGTCTTGTTGATTAAGAGACAGCAGGTGAAGTAGTCATTTTAGGTAAATACGCTGATAAAATTGAGTGTTCTGAATGATCTGAACAAAATGTGAGCATATTTGGTATACAGTTCGTCGCCATGAAATGTGACATGGTGTTAAGTGACTGGTGTCCATCGGCTCCTAGTTCAGTGACAGGAAGTGAGATAATTGTGTTGTACAACACTTCAGTGATTTGACAATTTGCACCAGTCCTAATGGACTAGTGGCTAACAACGCTGCAGCATAGATACAAAAGCTCCTTTGGTGTTTGCCAGCTTGTGTCATTTCTAGCACTCTTGGGATGTCTGACAACCTATCAAAGGTAATGTGCACCTGACAGTGTTTCCCTCCCTTCTGCTTTACAACTGTGAGATGTGAACGCTGCAAGCACACGTACAATTACAGGTTTGAGAACACATCAGTCTTCGTCCAACAGCTCACTTCGGATGTAACAATGTGTTAAGAAATAGTAAGTAAGATTAGGGGTACATCGTTAGATAAGGAGAGATAATCGATCGTCGGAGTTGTGAATCTCCAACGATTTGGGTGACTAGAAACTGTGATACACATGTCGTGTCTTCACATTACACAGTGATAATAGTTGTCCGCTGGATTAGGATTAGGTTGGAAGAGAGTTGCAGGTGATCAAAGAGAAACCTGGAATCAATCCATGAAGTTGTTGGCCGCTGCTTTGAGCTAAGTAGATGGCTTCAGTCTGTCATACTTTGGTCTTTGACATCCAAGGAACAAATAGGTGGAAATTGTATTCGACGTGTTTCAAAGTTGTCGTCACTGGTGCAGATGCTTTCACTCTCAAGTTTTCATCCACTACAGTGCCGTTGTACATTTTTGCCCTAACTCCGTGTATCATATGGAGTGTGAAAACTTGACTTGAACTGACAGGTTTTGTGCAGAGTTCTACACCGGAGACAGTCAGTGGGATGAAACTATTTGGGATTCCCGAGGTTAGAACCCTTGTTAATGTTATCAACAATAATAATCACTACTGGAGTCAGAAAATCAAATCCCGCTGCTTTGACTGGATGGAATCAGATGAGAAACGGGATTTTAAAAAGTCGAGTAG